AAAAAAAATAAATAAATGTTTATCTCACAAAAATTTGTGAAACCCTTATTAATCACCTTTACCTTAGTCAGGGAGATATCATGCATGCCATAACTATTACTACAAACATTTAGCTCTAACGAAGAGATCATTCTTAAAATTTTTTCAACTGTGCCTTTTATATTATCAAATTAATGAATAATTACATGCAGATGTTTGAGAATGATAGAAAACAAAGTACTAAAAGATTACCCATATCTTATACTTTGAAAAGAACTATTGTTTAACATTTCTATTCCTTTATATTTTTGGATAATCTGGTTAATTTTTAAATATATCAAACTTTTCTCAAATTGGAGCTTCATAAATGTGAACATTTTTGGAGTGGGTGAGTATATATTCCTCAGCTTTGAGGGGCAGGAAGGAAATGATTTCTTTGGGTTGAGTTTGCTGGATGTACAGGCAAGGTTGTATGTAGTCCCTTAGCCTTAAGCATTCCTTAAATTGCCCGAACAAGGAATGTTACAGAACTCAAGGGCAGGACTAGGTAAAAAAACACATTCTTGTTTCTCTTTCTAATACTCTCAGTGGGTAGCCAGTCTTTCACGGGAAAGACAAATGGAGCCTTGGATATATGTAAATGGAAATCTATCTCCTTGGCTCTTCTCCCTCTTTGACATAAGCCATAGAATTGAATTATGAGAATTATGAGAAGTTAGTTGAGTTCCAAATATTAAAAACAAACAAGCAAGAAAAAAAAATCCAATATAGAGTTCCAGAGACCCACCGAGGCTAAGTGCAATTTCAGGATCTCCCTAAAGTGAAAATTTAAATCAATCAATCTGGAGTTTTCTAGTTAATACCAGCTAATAAGTGTTCTGCACTTCCTCTGAAGGCAGGTTGGACTTGCTGGAAATAATCTTTCTGATCTTTGACAATGTTGACCCACCCTATAAAAACTTTCTATTTTATATAACACCTTGCAGAACATTTCTATTTGCTAGGTGGGGTTTTGCCGATTCATAATATTTGACAAAGTCAATTAATGTCTAAGTTTATTCAGTTGAATTTTGTTTTTCAATTCTAGAAACTTTCTTCAACCTTTCATTCACAGACTAGAAACTAAACTCAGGGTTCCCCTAACTATTGGACCTTTTGTACAATAATGACCTTAGGAGGGTTTATGAATTTAGGAGAGATACTAGATTCTTTGAGAAACTGATTTTTAGCCAACTCTTAATCTCTTAAAAATCCTATAGTACTAAATGGAAATACTCATTCAGGTACTTCAGGCTGACTTAAAGTTCTTCCCACAACTCCTTTTTCCTGTTCTATTAAATGCAAGAAACGGTGCTGCACAGAGAAGTGTGCTTACTTAGTATAGAACATCTGTCTGGATGATTCAGAGAGAAATGGTTTCCTTGTGTACAGAGACACTTTGTAAATAAACCTAGGGTTTGTGAGATGATTAAGAAAGACAGATTTTTATCCATATGGAATAAGTTCAAGGTCCATAGTAATAGAAAAATACAGCTTATTTTTAAGACTAAATATGCTCTTTAGAGGAAATTAATCCCCATGTTTTATTTCATAGACTCTTAGAAAGTCAGCCACAGTTTGGAGTAAAAGCATATCTCATATCTCCCTTTACCTTTATCCCTGAGAACTCATATGTCCCTTGCCAGGAGGAGGAAAAAGCTTCAAGAGATCTGGAAAGGACCTGAGGTGAAAAATGTATTTACAAAAACTCTAGTTAGTAGGGAGGAATGATGTCCACTATTGCCTATGAAAGGGTGCATCTCACAAGAATGAGAAGCCTGGAATATGCTTTAGGAATACTATTTTGGAAGATTAGGAAACAGAACATAAGAACCAGGGATAGAACAATACTTAAGCAGTTAGTCTCTGACTTTTGTGAGGGTTCAAAAGAGTTTATTGGTGATACTAGAAGTTTGTTTTCCCTCAAATTCCATATTTTTATGATTCTTACTGGAATATTTTTGTTAAGAATAATGTAAGTCTCCCTTAGGATCCAGGGTTTTTTTTTTTTTTTTTTAAATGAAGACAAGAGAAATGTAAGGCAAAGTCTTCAAAATGATTTGCAGTAAAATACATGAACATATAAAGAGTAGACTTTTGCACTTGAGAAAATATGGAATGGTCTCTGGGACAAGAAAGTGAATCAATAAAAACATACACCCTTACCTGATAAATTTCCAAATGTAATAAAGCAACAAAAACAGATTATCACTAATTCTCATGGCACCTCTATTAAGACAACAACAACAGTAACTATGACCTAAAGTTACAGCACTCATACCAGGTTCTGGGAAAGGCAGGGGGTGGGGAATATTCACAAATTCCAAGTAATGAACATATTTTTAGGGAGAAAGGATGTCCTGAGGGAATCCTACAGATACTGGTTTTTGTGGTCTCAACCCCCAATCCAGTCACCAAAACTACAAACCCCAGCATCACCAAAGGAAGGATTGCTGGGACCTGAAGATGGACTTTAGCAGCCATGTTAAGTATAAAATCAGACATGTGAGCCTTTGCAGCTCTCTTGGCTTTTCTCTATTCTCTTGACTTTTCTCCAGCCTCAGCATGCTATTGGGGTTCCAGGACAGAACTGGTAGGAAGCATTAACCAACTTATCTCTTTTTCCCTGAGCTATTCATTTCCCTTTCTCTTGTAAATAACCCCCTTATTGCCCTTTTTGTGTGTGCCTATAGTTCAATCTTATAAGTCCCTTTAAGCACATGGGTGAGGACCCACAGTTAGGCTACCCAATTCACACTGGGGTTCCCTATAACAACATCATCCAAATTAAAGTAAAAAAATTGAGGACCGGGGGGGGGGGGGGGG